TCATTAGGTCTATTACTACTAAAATTACACTTCATATATTCCGTTTTAGATCTACTCAAGCGAAAACCTTTAGTCTCTAATGTTGACCTCCATAATTCAAGTTTACTTTCAACTCCCTCTCTAGTCTTATCAATAAGAAGAATATCATCAGCAAAAAGCATACATTAAGGTACATCCTCTTGTAAATATCTAGTGAGAACATCCATGACTAAAACAGTAAAAATTCAAAATATTATAATAATTTTTTAAAGCCTATTTGTTATGTAAGAAATGTAAGAATTCAAGACAACTATGAACTTAATAAATTTTTACATAAATTAAAATTTTAAATTTATAACACTAAAAAAATGGCATGCTATTTGCGCCTTATGTTATTGCTCATATATGACGCAAATAGTACATGCTATTTTGAACTAGTATGCTGCATCAGGTCATGCGCCATGATGCACGTCATCTTGCACCATTGACATATATGAAACTAACAAACTTGTAAGAGGAAATATTTACAAGAATCTTGAACCTTCACGCAACAAGCTTTGTAAACGTTGTTTAACCAATAAATTTCAAAGCTGAAACCAAGAAAGTTGGGCTTCAGAATCGGTATATTCTAAAGCATACCCATGTGAAAGCCCCCTTGCCTTCCAAAGCTTGAACTAACACAGCAACTCGGCTAGGATGAACAGAACGCAAGTGTATTTAAATTGGCTAGGAAAACATGGGATAGCAGGTTATCTATTTTGAGATCTCTGATTCTCATATCATTATAAAAATAGCAAGTCAACCAACCTCAAGCTGAGTCAACTCCATAACTTAAAAAAGCTACAACTGATGTACATAATGATTCATGCAACTTTGCAAGTTCTAATTTAGGCTTCGTTTGAGACGGCTTTCTTTCTGCTTCTTAAAATAGTTTTTTAGTACAAAAATTTTTAATTTGTATTAGAAAGATATTTTAAGAAGTAGAAAGAAAGCCGTCCCAAACGAAGCCTTAGATTCTTTTTGGATCTCCAGGGAGGCAAGGAGAATATAATGTGAGCTGATATGGTAGGGTATGTATTTTAACTCAATGAGATGCCTAAGGGTTATATGGCCTTATCATGCACTTTGATATCAAATTATTTAGTTGGATACTTAAATATTCAGATCAGTTTTGTGTTATCATTCTCATTTCATGTTTCTTCTTATAGCCAGATAATGGCAGCATCAGTCATAACCAAGACTAAAGCTAGACGCTTCCCTACTAACAGAAGTAATTTTTTCCTGATTATCTCAGCTTGTTGGTTGTGAAATTGCCACTGTTTCAGCTATTGCTCGACATGTTGATACAAATTTGCCACCTCCTGATAATCTATGTTCCCTTTTGTGAGTCTTCTTCTCACAGTTATTTGAAAAGGTTGATCTCATTATTATTCTAACAAATTGCATTACAAAAATTTTTATATGCAGCCAATTGGAAAATGGATGTGCTGGCGTTTTCGTAATGGCAGTGTCATCACCATCACCAAAGGTGAATTATGTTCCAGGCATTGATGGAATAAGTATGCTGAATAAATATCTTCCCATTATTTGTAAAATGCTTACTTACTAGAAAGCTTTATTAACTATACCAATAAGCCATGATACATTTTTTAAATATTTTTCTGCTGAATGAAATTTAGCTATTAAAAAGATATATTAACTTTGTACAGAAGTTGTCCTCAGATATATTGGCGAGTTGACGGCACAAAAGGAACACTGCAAATTGAACGTGGGATTGAGAATGGAAGGCACGGATACACGGTAGAATATACCTGGTTAATTGCGCCGTTTTCTACAAATATTAAGGTTTTGTTTGGGACGACTTTTTTACTGCTTCTTAAAGCAACATTGCCATTGTCAGGTCCCATAAATTTTTTGTACTAAAAAGCTATTTTAAGAAGCAGTAAGAAAGTTTGGGGCCAAACGAAGCCTAACTCTTAGTTGGGATTAATGATTTTTCTTGATTGATTTCAAGGAGCATCTATCAAAGCAATTGATTAAGCCATGGCATTGGATGTTGTACAGGTTCTCTTCAATACAACAGACGGCTTATGTGAAAGAGCTTTCCACCCGTTCAGTGGGGTGCATGAAGAATTGAAAGCTTTTGTTCATGACATAAAGCAGGCTACTAACAAGGTATGATTGTTTTTGTAGCTAGTCATATGGTTTAATGATAGGATTAAGAATAATTGATTTGGCTATTATAACAATTAGCCAAATTAATAATATTATCCAAACTTTAATTTATTTCATATCCTTAACTTTTGTGTTTTATAAAAACTGGGAAATAGAAATCCATACAAAGTCTCGGGATGCATGCAGATGCAGGCAACGGGAGAGATGATTTCAATCCTTACCAAACTGAGAGAAGGAAAAGTTATTGAGATGGGAGAGGGGAGAGAGAATAGATAAGGGTGTCTTTTCAAATGAAATTGATAATTCATTCATAATTTCTTTAATTACAAGCCATAAAACCCATATTCATAGAGAAGGGTTATACATAAATTCATACTAAAATTACAACTTAAATCTCGATAAAATAAAATAAAGATGCACTGTAATTTGTCATGTTGCAGCTCACGGGATGATATTGAAGTGATGCAATAGATAGATATGGTGATGCACCATTTCCCTAAGGGTAATAAGTCACCTCTAGATAGTAAGATGTGTTGCACCTGTCTAGAAAGATCATGGGCAATGTGTTGGATGTCAGAGAGATAAATAGGGCTACAAACGAACCGAACCGAATTAAGTATGTGCTTGTTCATGCTTGAGTTCATTTATTATCATCTTGTTCAAGCTTGATTTGAGCTTTTTTGTTTGTGTTCAAGCTTGGTTGGTTTAAATTAATGGTTGTTCATATTTGGTTCATGTTCGGTTCATTTCATGATTAATACTTTAATACAATTATAATCAAATTTCTTAGTCGAGTTTTAATCGAGCTTCTTAACAAGCTTGTTTATGAGCGTTAAATAATACTGTCAATGAACATAAATGAATAGAACGCTAAGTTTTTCAAGCTCGTTCGTTGTTGGCCCATAGCCTACAACCAAAAGGGAATAAAAAAATAATAATATAATTTTTGCTAAATCATTACTTGCTCCCATATCCTACCAAAATCGTGTGCATACAGTCGCCCATACATTGTGTAAACGGCGCCGTTGCAGTCGTCGCATGTGTACCTCGAGCCCGCCTCTGCCTTGTTCTTTAAAAGGCGAATGAAATGAAGCCTTTGGGCTGCTAATCCACTCTCCCATGCGACTGAGCTCCCATCACTGCTTCGGATCTCCCTCACAAACTCCTGCCTCTTGCCGCCCTTTAGAAGCCGCAAACCCCCTTAGCATCCGGACCCCCTTCTCCATCCAACCTTTTACACCTTGCCGAGCCTCCCGACCTCCTGTTTCCTCCGATCGAGAGAGAGAGAGAGACCTACTTGTGAGAAAATATTTTATTTATTAATTTGAAGAAAATGCTTTTGTAATTTTATAAATAAATAAATTCTCACGCGATTCGCTTTATTTATATTTTAATATTTTCTTTCAATCAAATCCACGTAGTCAGACAATATACCACCCCGAGGAGTAGACTAATGTCCTTCTACTGATCTAAAAAAAAGAAAACTATAATTCATTTTTCTAATCAAGTGCAGCATAGGGAATATACAAATCATCCCGAAGGATGACGAGTATAATATCCTATCGACCCGATTAGACTAATGAATTATGAGCTTATTTTCATAATCAAATATAGAAGATATTTAACCTGCCTGTGAAAGCAGATTAATTATCTACCTATTCTTTGATTATGGAAATAAATTTTAAAATATAGATAAAGCGAACGATCTACGTCCACAGATCTTTCCCCTACCCCAGAAAGAAAATTAAGGCAGGGTTTAGATTATTCTGGGATTTAGACTCCCTATAGGGGCAAGCCCCTATAATTAATTACATCTCCTAAGAGAATACTCTCGATTTAAATGAAGACTAATTAATTTCAAAATTATATATAAATTTAACTAAACATTTGAGCTAATTTAAATTTTCATGATCAGGTTTTAGATTATAAAGTTAACACTGAATTTGGAAGAGTTTAGATTTGATTAGAAGGAAGAATGTGCAGGGAGAGGGTGTATACATTCTGGACTTACCACCTGCCTAGAGTGGGTTGCCAGCTAACAATCCTAATCACAACAATTCGCCGATAAATGCAAGATTTAAGGTAGCTCTATCCTAAGAATCAAGGAATGGTTAAAGAATTTAAATCAAATGCAATAGAATATGCTTACGAAAAATTGAAATCTACACGAATGCTAATGATGCATGAACAGTTCTGTATATGAAAGAGCTGACTTTTATTAATATCAAATTTATAAAGTACATCCCAGGGTCTGCAGTAAAGTAAAGGTGGCCAGGCCCCACCGACAACAAACCTGGGTTCTAAGCCTATAAAAGAGTAGAATTAAATATAACTGCTTATGGTCTTCAGGCTCCAAATCTTCTATGGAATCCCAAAAAAGAACATCCTCCTTGTGGAGGGTATTACTTTTTGGAGCCCCATTTGTATATGTATAAGCAGTTATTTTCAATTCTTTTACAGACTCCAGACACTTTAAAGACTCAATCTATATACAACAGATCTAAAAAAAATAAAATTTATATTTATTTTTATAAGTACATCAGATCCTAAGAACATTCTACTTTGCAGGTAAGTAAAAGCAAGAAAATAAAAGCAGTTATATAATTATGCATGCTATGAGTGCGTTGTGAAGAGTTATAAATGCAGGAAAGTAAAGATAGAAAAGTAAAGTACATGACCCTCACTTATTCACTCCACTCTTTGGTGCACTTACAGAAAAATAAATATGCATGCTATGAGGTACAGGAAAGTAAGCAAACACATATGGGTGCCCTCTAGGCAAGACACCCGCAAATAAACCACAACAAACCACCGGCCTAGCCTAGGTTAGAGTTGGCTGTCCTAGCAAGCATCTAAGTGTGTGAAAGAGGTCGTGTGGCTTGGATAGGTCCTATAGGAATTATTGTTTGAATTGCATGTATTATTAAAGTTTATTTATTAAAGGACAAATGAGAATTTAATTGAAATTTAAGTAAAGTGTATTTGAATTTTAATTTATTCAACTTTTAGAAGTTAGAGTTATTTGATTTAATTTTAAAGAACTTATAAACTGATAACTCCCTAAGTGCAGGAAGTTATCAATTTATAAGTTCTAGGACTTTCAAAATGTACACTCATCTTATAAAGAAGATAAGTGTTCATTCGAGAATCCCCAAAATTTCATTAGAGAGAGGAAAAAGGGACCTTATAAATGCAATGTAACATACATTCCCTAAGGGGTCGTATATGTTACATAAGGTCGGTGTGTTATTATATTTATTTGAAGATCTCTAAATTTAAATGTATTAGTGCCTTACTAAAAGGAGTCGTGCACAATACATAGGAGATCTTTTGGTTATTTAAGTGTATTAAAAGGCCTTTTAAAATCGAAATGACTAAAGCCCTCCAAAAGGAATCAAGCTTTAGGCATTAAGGCCTTAACCCATTAAATCCAAATTAATGATCAAATTTGATTGATTAAGATTAATCAATCAAATTATCAAGTTAATTTAATTTAAATGAGTTAAAATTTAATTTAAATCCTAATGTATTTTATTATAATATTTAGAATCTTTAATCATTTATCGAATATTAATGAATTTTATTATTATAAAATTATTTAAAATTAAAATTAATACGTTTCTGGTTTGATTTGATTTTAAATGGGTTTATTTTATATTTTTGATATTTATTGGAATTTTACATGAATTTTAAGATATTTATTTAGTTAATGTTTAATTAAGGGTTGACTTAGATTTAATAAAATTTAGGCCTTTATTTTAAGTTTTAATGATTGAAAGTTTGATTTAAAGTTGATTGGAGTTTATTGAGATTGATTTTAATTTTTTAGGAATTTTTATTTGATTTATTTGGATTTATTGAAGCAAAAGAAGAAGATCCTTGAAGAAGGGTCACCTAAATCTACTAGTTGTTATAAGATCAATTAATGTCCAATCAAGGTGAATTAGATCAAGGGGTTTATGACACTAGTTTTCTATGTTTGAATTTCATCCCAAAAGGGATGTGTGAAGTTTACCTAGATGTATCTAAATTAACTAATACACGACCTTAATTGTTGTCCCTTAATGTCACTAGGCTATAGGATGGCAAATCATGTTCACTAACCCTTGGACACTAATTGTAATCACACCAAAGCAATCATGAATCCAACAAATAAAAGTGCCATTAATTATTTAAACTAAATCAAGCATGATATTAAAGGTAAATTTTAACTAAACTATACATGATCAAGGTCTAAACCTATTTTCACTGGAAGGAAGACTTAACACTGATTCCATAGAACCCTAACATGCTATGATTGGATTTAATTTGGATTATATTTGAATTTACAAAAGTTTGGGTCAAATCATGACCAAGACTTTAGTAAATTCAAATACCCCAGATATATGCATCAAATGGACTTGAGAAAATTACAGTAGACCAATATTAGACCCTATTACATCTCTGCCAAAGCTCAGCTCAAAATAATATATATACTTCTATTTAAAAATAAAACAAATTTTTTTGTATTATTGAAATTACTAATAAAATATTACTCAAAATAATTTTTATAATATAGTACTTGAAAATATAAACAAAACGAGCCCAAGAACTCCAAAAATGGATGAGAATTAAAATTCTGGTGAATTTTTGAAGTTCGGGAGATTTTCTAGATTTATTTTAGGGTTTTAAAAGCCTGGTCAAATGTCGGTGTTGACCTGGACACGCGGCGCGCGTGGGGACATCCACGCGGACGGCGGCGGTCAAGTGGGGCCCGTCACTTAACCAGCGGCAGCGACATAGCCGTTGGATCGATCACAGAGGAGATCCGACGGTCGGGATCCAACCCGCGGTATTGAAAACGACCTGGAATGATCGAACAGTGGCAAAGGGTACCGCGATTTGGATCAATGGCTCAGATCTGGCCTGGCGGGGTTCTGACCAACCGCGGTTTCGAGGGATTGAAACGAGTTATAAAGCAGGGTTAATTGTAGCCGTTGATCTATAAAGAATAGATTTAA